ATGGATGAACAGATCAGTGGATGGATGATGGATGGATGGATGGATGATGGATGGATGAACAGATCAGTTGATGGATGATGGATGGATGGATGGATGATGGATGGATGATGGATGATGGATGGATGGATGGATGATGGATGGATGGATGGATGGATGGATGAACAGATCAGTGGATGGATGATGGATGGATGATGGATGGATGATGGATGGATGGATGAACAGATCAATAGATGGATGATGGATGGATGATGGATGGATGGATGATGGATGGATGAACAGATCAATAGATGGATGATGGATGGATGATGGATGGATGGATGATGGATGGATGATGGATGGATGGATGGATGAACAGATCAGTGGATGGATGATGGATGGATGATGGATGGATGGATGGATGAACAGATCAGTGGATGGATGAATAAATTTGTAAAATATCTTTCTGTTTCTAACATCTTGACTCTTGAGGAAAATGTTTTCTGATGAATCAGATCAAAGTTTTAAACGTCTCAATGAGGCGTCTCACACTAACGAGCCGTTAAAAACTAATTATTTCAGCTGCTTGGAGCTCTGCAGACGAGCCGAAACCGGAGCTCTTTAGCTGTTTGGTAATAAAGCTGTGTTCAAACCCAACGTTCATACGTTTTACTGAAGTTTTATTTCCTCCTGAACAAATCTGAGCAACAAATAATGAAAATGTTTCCATGTTTCATTAGATCTGCTGAGATGAAGCTGAGAGCTTCAGCAGCTTCAGCAGCTTCAGCAGCTTCAGCAGCTTCAGCAGCTTCAGCAGCTTCAGCAGCTTCAGCAGCTTCAGCAGCTTCAGCAGCTTCAGCTTCTGTTTCTCTCCTCTCCAGCCCTGCTGTAACGTAACTCAGACGAGGTGTAATCTGTCTTTCTTTCAGATTGCACACGACTACACGTTTCTGGATTACATCCTGGGAGGCTGCCAGCTCATGTTTACGGTGAGTGAGACTTTGATTTATTTATTTATTTAGTTTTTTTTCCCGCCTCTGCAGGGTCGCGGTAACGAGATGCACGTTTCTTCTCGCTCTGCTCTCGAAAAACGGATTCAGATTTTCTATTTTCATTTCCTGAGCTTGCAGCTGGATCACAGTCATTTCCATACAGAGAGAGACGTGTGAGGGGGCGGGGCATGAGGGGGGAGGGTTAAACGAGAGCAGTAGATGAGTAATGAAGGTAAATAAAAAACTGTAATAAAAGTAGAACACGAGTGTTAGATTCTAACATGTGGTTTAAAAACAGGAGCAGGAGGGGGGGGGAGTGTCAGGGTTTATTTTCGTCTGCTGTCAGGAGGAACTCTGATGTCACCTTTTTGTTCAACTGACTGACAGAAAATCCTCGTCTCCAGCTGCCAGCCTGTCTCCCTGACTTTATTTTATTTTCAGTAATCCTGGGTGAAGACGACGGGTGGTTTAACCTGAAGGAAATCATTATAATAAATAAAATAAAATAAAAATAAAAACCTTTAATCTGTGATCGAAGCTCGACGTCATCAGAAAATTAAACTAAAACATTTCTTGTCAGTAAATCTGCAGTAAAACTTGAAGAACTGACACAACTGGACGTTTTAAAGCATTAAAGCCTTTTTTACGTCTTTTAATGCAATGTCATCATGTGACAAAAGCAGGGGCGGAGCTAGACTTTTTGCAAAGGGTGGCCGATGTGTTGATGGGGTGGGGGTCATATATATATAAAAAATAAACTAAAGCCAGGGTTTGAAAATTCAAGATGGCCACCACAGCCAAATTTAAATAGACCAATTCAGCTATTTTAAGCTAAACATGAGCTAAAATTTTGTCATAATAGCTAAGAATGATCAAAAAACATGCTGAATGCTAGTCATGCTAGTTTTACAAACAGCCTTTTCATTCTTTTTGGGACAAACAAAACTGAAAATTAGCATAGTAATAGCTAGAAACAATCTTTACAAAATTCTAAATGCTAATCAAAATGTCAAGCTGGTCATCACAGCTAACTCTGCTAATGCTGCTAACTCTGCCAACACTGCTAACTCTGCTAATGCTGCTAATGTTCGAAATACTGCTAACTCTGCTAACTCTGCTTATGCTCGTAATACTGTTATCGCTGCTAACTCTGCTAATGCTGCTAACTCTGCTAATGCTGCTTACTCTGCTAATGCTGCTAACTCTGCTAATGCTGCTAACTCTGCTAATGCTCGTAACTCTGTTATCACTAACTCTGCTAATGCTGCTAACTCTGCTAACTCTGCTCATGCTCGTAACACTGTTATCGCTGCTAACTCTGCTAATGCTGCTAACTCTGCTAACTCTGCTAATGCTCGTAACACTGTTATCGCTGCTAACTCTGCTAATGCTGCTAACTCTACCAACACCACTAACTTTGCTAATGCTGCTAACTCTGCTAATGATGCTAATGTTCCTAATGCTGCTAACTCTGCTAACTCTGCCAACACTGCTAACTCTGCTAATGCTGCTAACTCTGCTAATGCTCGTAACTCTGTTATCACTAACTCTGCTAATGCTGCTAACTCTGCTAACACTGCTAACTCTGTTAATGCTGCTAACTTTGCTAATGCTCACAACATTGTTATCGTTGCTAACTCTACCAATGTTGCTAACTTTTCCAATACTGCTAACTCTACTAACTTTGCTTATGTTTCTAACATTGCTAATGCTGCTAACGCTATTAGCGCTGCTAATTCTGCTACCGCTGCTGAAGATGAGATTTGAAATTGGAAATGTGTTCATTAAAACAAAAAAGGTAGCAGTGGACCAACATTTTGAAGTTCAACTCTTACAAGTTTGATGTCTTGTAGGAAAGTGTTAGCAGAGTTAGCAACATTAGCAATGTTAGCTGTGTTAGCAGAGTTAGCTGTGTTAGTTTTAGCTGCCTCATCAGCATTTTTGTTTTATGTAAATAAATCTTTTCTTTTGAGTCTTGTGGACTTGGGTTTAATGCACCAAGCTTTACAGACGTGACCTGGACTCAGTCAGCTGATGTGACCCAGGTGAGGGGGCGGGGCAAAGGAAGTAACTCCAGATATCTGCAGTGATCTGATTGTCGTCCATGTTTGATCATCAGCTGCCCCACTCGTGCGAGCGTGCACACCACGCGCATGTTCACTGCCACCCAGACCGTCTCACTCTCAGCCTGTTTTTTTTTTTTTGTCACCTTTGTGTTGAAAACGAGCCTTTAAAGCACCGAGGATTGTTGTTGTTGCCATGGTGATGCTTTGTGAAGATGTAAAAAGAAAATCACACGCGTGGAAAACAGGTTTAAAGTAGGATGAAGCGTCGTGTGTTCGGCAGGTTTGCTCTTTATTCAGATGAAACCGTTAAAATAAAAAATAAGAACCTGCGGATCAGACAGCGGTTATCTGAAAACGACAGGTACGCTGCGGCGCTTGTACAAAACAAAACATGTTGAAAATGTCTGTTTTTAAAAAAAAAACATTTTTATCAACTCACCACTAATGATGCTCTGACTCTATGAATCATCAGCTGCTGTAGAAAAAGCTTTTTGTGCCTCAGAAAAACAACCTTTCATCTATTTAAACAGCCATAAAAGGCGATTTTACTGCCCGTTGGTGTGTGTTTGTCTGTCTGTTAGCAAAATATCTCCCAAATCACTGGATGGATTTTGATGAAACTTGCAGGAGCTAATCTCTGGATGCAGAATTACATATGAATAATCTTTAGGGTTAGTCTGATTAAAGATGACTGCCGCAGCTGAGTGATTTTATCAAACACATAAATGGCTGTAAGTCAGTCAGTTTTACAGAATTTGAGCTAAAGCTTGGTTTGGTAGTAGCTGAGAATCATTCCCAACATGTACTCTGAGTTCTAACAGATTACATAAGATTTAAGCTTAAAACTTTGCCATAAAAAGCAGCATGCATTTCTTTAAGCAACACTTTAAAGTGTCAGTGACATCAAATTTTAGTAAAAAACATGAATGCATTTTTGGAAAGATAACATTGATAACATGTTGCAAAACAAATTTCACGTCGCTGAGATGAACGGTTGCTGAGATATTTACATGTGAAGAAACAGGAAGTGATGTCAAAGAGGAATGTCGGCATGTAAACAGAGCGATGTTACGAAAGCTAACAACACAGATATTTTTAGTCGCTATCAAAGAGAGACGAAGAAGAGTTAAAACTTAAATAATTTTGTTTTAATAAACAGAAACCAGCGAGTTTATTTATTGAGTTCCCCTTTGATGTCACTTCCTGTTTCACTTTGAGCCAAATTCAAAAGAAAATGGGCCAGTTATGTGACAAAATGAGTAAAATCATGTGTACTATGCATATTTTCTTAAGTATAAAGATGCTTTCTTTGACTTTTTGTGTTTGGAGGATTCGTCACAGGCTCTTTAATTAATGTTGTTGGGTCCTAATTAATAAAATGCTGAGCTGAGGCAGGTTTGCATTTACGAGCCAGCATGCATCCAAATCCAGGCTCCTGCAGACATTTAATCCCACACTTCTGCTCCTTGAACCCAACTCCTAAACAGAACATCTTCAGACCTAAAATAGCTTCTCTGTGGGTGATGTCATGGAGACGCTGCTCAGCCACAGATGTCTCCTCGCGCTCTCAACGCAGGCGGGTCCAGAAGAACAGGAAGCAACAGAAGGAGCCGTTCTGTGATGCTCAGGCAGTTTTAGTGAAACTTTAATCCTAATCTGCAGGAGGGGAATCCTCTCCTCCTCAGCTCGGTGGGAGACGGAGGAGAGACGGAGAGACAACCTGCCTCGGTTCAACAGCGTTGTTTCAGCTGAAGCAGGTTCACCTCTGAAGCTGCAGAGACAAAGAGTGAGATCTGTGAGTGATGAGCTTCTTCACTGAAGCATCAGCAAAATATCTGAAACACTCTGAAGCTTCAGAGGAAGTCCACTTCCTGGTCGCCTCAGACTCTGAGGCCTCCGCAGGCGTCATGTTCGAGCTGCTTGTCGTGTTCTCATTCAATCTGCTCGTGTTTTGAAATTATTAACGGCCCGAAGCGAAACAGGAAGTTGCGAACGCTGTCATCAGATCCACAGGCGTCACGCTAACGTGGTCTGTCAGCGGGACGAGCTCGCTCACAGTTCGCCCGTCAGATGTCAGTTTGGTGACAGGAACAGGGACATGGACACGTGGACTCCAGGAACAGGGGCGGAGCTAGGATTTTTTTTTACAGGGGGTGGACCAAGGGTGGCCAAGGTGGTTTTGTTTTAGAGGATGCAAGCAAATAAAGACTTCAAGATGGCCGCCGCAGCTAATTCCAAATGGCTTTAATTGAGCTGTTTTACAAAATATCGATCTGAAACTAGCTGAATGCTAGTCACAACCTATTATTCAGCCATGTTTTGACAGAAAAAGCTAAAGATGAGTGTAGAGGTAGCCAAAGAAGTCTTTACCCGCAAACTGCTAATTAAAAATTTAAGATGGCCACCACAACTAACTTTAAAAGACTTAAATTCAGCCTTTTTAAGATTTTAGAGATAAAATTTGTTGTGGAGTATCTAAGCATGATCACATGCTGATTGCCCATGCTAATCCCAAATTAAGCTAATCACGAATGCTAATTTTAGCTCTAATCCAGCTGTTTTTAAACACACAGCTGAAAATATAATTAGTCAATCAATCAATAATTTGAGGCGAGTAATTTCTTTCAGGCACATATTCTGAGAATTACTCAACAAAAAAAACTAAATACAAGAAGCAAAACCTGCAGGAAGAACAGAACAACTTCCAACTTTTCAACATAAAGAGCTGCCGTCCTTTTGTTAGCTAACTTTAGCTAACATTCATGAAACTGTTTGGCTTTAACGTGTATCCTTTTTTTTTTTTTTAGTTTTTGTAGTTTATCTTAAAGTTCAAAGTTTAGTTTAAAACAAAGGCAAGGAGAAGACACTTGTCTTTATTTTAAACAAAACTTTAATCTGAACTGAAGTAGCAGTAGCCCAGTAGATCAGCACATGGATCCTTCTACTTCCTGTCTGTTGACCAATAAGAGAGGAGCTAACCCATGAAGCTCCGCCCACCTTATTTGCATAATGAGACATAAATGGTAAAGTAAAAACAGGAGACAGAAGTGTAAAAACAACACATGGAAACAAAGGCTTGTGGGGAAAAAATATAAAAGATAATTAAATATAATCATTTAAGAGACAGATGAATGAACAAGTAAAAGGAAATATAAAAATGTATATTTTTAAAAACCGTAAAATGTAATGTATGTGCTAAAATACAGTATATACTTTATTAGAAAAATAAATATGAAGGTCAATTAAAGATAAAACGTGGTAAAGTTCTCCTTTTTTCATTTAATTGGTGCATTTTACTTGTATTTATTTATTTATTTATTGGTCCATTTCTATATTTCTGCTTTTGTTTCTAATTATGGTCGTTTCATTCCTCCGTATGAAACTGGGCTTTACTTAACAAAACAACAATGAAAAGAGTTTTTATTTATTTATTTATTTATTTATTTATTTATTTATTTATTTATTTATTTAAAGCCTCCTGCACCCTGGAACAGATTAGAACCAGAAGCAGCTCTCAGGTCAGGGTGACTCAGGCAGAGGAGTTATTGAGGATGTTGCTCCGGTCTCTGAAACGGGACTTTCAGTATAAACAATCCCAGACTGAATCCTCTGTTTGCTACAGGACGGAGCTAACCCTCAGGAGGACGGAGGACAAAGTGTCCACACCTGGACACAGTGAGACAGCAGCTTAAGTCTGTCAGTCCTCCTGATCCGTCAGGTCTCCCTTCAGTTTCTCCTTTCTGCCACACGTTTCCCATCTTTGCTCCTTTTTTTTTTGTCCTCGTTGAACCTGAGCATCGTTGTTTCGTAATCCTCCTCGTGGCTCCAAACGGACCCAGATCAAAGCAGACGGGTCAGAATAATCTTCTGGATGAGCTGCGAGGGGCTGAAGAGGTGGAGATATTTGGTGGGATTCTTGTCGGCTCACAAGCCGCCGCAGGAAACACCCTGTCACTGTAAATACATCGTGTTCCTGTGTGTGTGTGTGTGTGTGTGTGTGTGTGTGTGTGTGTGTTTCTGCTTATTGTGTAAAGATCAGCACAAGGTCACCTGCTTTTTTTAATCATTTTTCAAAATAAAACCTTTTTTTATGTTTTTTTTAATCCAAATGTTAAAAATACAGTTTTATTCTTGAACATCATGTTTGATTTCAGGTCAGTTCGTACCTTCAGCGTTGGTCACCTTGTACCCGGGGGTTATCAGGAGTTAATTTTTGTTCATTTTGTCCAGTCGCAGCAACTTTCTTCACAGGTCAACCATCTGGCACAGGGGTGCCCAAAGATTTTCCTTGAGAGGGCCAAAACTAAAAACCATTTCCCCTGAGGGCCAAAATTAAAACCAGTCTAAGTGGGGTGGGCCAAATGCAATAATATAATACACGAAATGCAAATACTTCTCAAGTAAAGTTGCATTTTTTTAAATTTAAGCTAGCAGCCATTGTGGTTGTCCATATTTTGTTTGCTTGGTTATTTTTCAGCCCATGAACATGGAGAAAATTCAATGTATGCTCGGGCAGCAAAGGCTCCTGAGTCTTTTCATAATTTTAAATTTTGAGTATATGTGGTCTTATAAGGTGTAAAAATCTAGATATGGACTTAAATCTAAGATAAATGTCTCTTGAAGTTACTTGTATTTTATATTTAATCTTAACACAATTCAAAGAAAGTCAGTACCATGAGTTAAGACTATCTGACTACAGCTCCTTGTACCTATAGTTGGACCAATTGTTGAAAAGACTTAAGTGTAAATTTAGTGTTTCTACATAAGACACATTACAATCTAGTAACAGGACAACTGGTGGTGGGCCAAATCAAATGGCTTGGCAGGCCAAATTTGGCCCACGGGCCACACTTTGGGCACCTCTGATCCAGCAGCTCTCTGTGACTCATCACTAAATCAGCACATTTTCCTGCTTTTTGGTTCCTGGGTTTGTTTTCCTAATCAGGATAACCCTTTAATATTTGATCTAAATCAGTTTTTAAGTCGTTCTAAAGAGGGATTTCTGATGTCATTTTAAAGAATCAAGAAGAAATATTAAAATTTACCAGCTGGAGAGAAACAGCGTTGCTAACTCGCAGAAAAATCAACACAAACTGAAGGTGTTTCTGCTTAAAATCAGTTTATTTTGCAGCTGCTGCTCAAAAAATGTCCTTCAGAATCTTTAAAGTGTCTGTGGCGTCAAAGTTCTGTAATAAAAATAAATGTATTTTTGGAAGGATAACACTCGCTGTGTTTCCACTGACCATGAAAATGAGCAAATTAGAGTTTCAAAAAAATTTGCTCAATGGAAACACGTCAATTTCGAAAAAAATTATGTTTTTCGACAAAATATTTTTGCACTAGGATGAGGTGGTTTTTCGG